GGGGTCTATTTTACCCAAAATATGACAACAAATAGGCAGCAATGCAAATAAGCTATTTTAAGAACTAAACGGGCTCATTAAAAAGGTCAGCAACTTGGAGCGCTGCTTCACAAACCAAGACCCAGGTCAGAAACAAACCAACCAACAAATGAGAGAGAAGACAAAGGGACACGGAGAGTAAGTAAACTCAGTGCTCAGTCCTAAACCCCCATGCTTTCACAGCAGATGGTTTGGTCCACTTGTTAGGTCTGTGAACTCTAACCAGCTCTGCTGTCAGCCTTTTGTTCAGCTACAGGAAAGACTGTAGCAGCAGATGGGCACCTCAAGAGAAAGACAAAACATCATTAATGCAACTTAGAAAAAGCATTGACAAACACAGGAAACCAAACATGCCTGCCCTCATTTACAGTGCAATAAAATGTGCTGAAACACACTAACCAAACACAACAAACCCTTCCAGGGGGGACTGTCCTGTGCACGTCCAGTGACAGCAGTAGAAAGGAGTTCAAACGGGATAGAAAGGAGTGCGATTTTGTTTGGTGTACAGTGCACGGACATGACCAAATTGTTATTTTGATTCTTCACAGCTGAATCATTTTATAGTTTTTCAGTTGGTCTTTGGATAAACTCGGGTATCAAAACTTTTTCTCACGACTCTCACCCCATAATTTACATCCTCTTACTCACTTTAATACGTTGTAAAGTGAAGATGATACAGTATCGTTCTTGAACCGTTGCCAGCGTGAGGTACCTTTGTTTGCATACTATTTGGCCTCAGTCATCAGGTCTCTCCCCTGCATATTTTGTGGGTAAAGGGTGCTGCTGTTGTCCAAATGGAGAGAGGGAGAGTAAGGGAAGAAGAGAGCTTATGAAAGACAGCAGCATGGGCAGTAGGCGGCATAGAATGGAAGATTTAAGATTTATCACCGAGCCACGGAGTGGAAAGAAGTGCTGCAAGTCTGGAGAGTGGGTTTCCACTTCAGCCTAATTCAGTGTGAAGTGTTTAAGACACACGAGTTTGGTTTGAGGAGATAAATGGGAAAGCCAGGCTACTTTCCGAGGCCGACACCTCTCTGTATTTCAGCTCCATAATTAACTCTCTCAGTAAGTTTTCGCCACAATTCACTGCAGGTTGGCGATTTCGTGTTTGAAGCGCGTTCTTCGATTGAGGTCCACATTTGTTTGACGTGACAGACAGTGTGAAGCTGCTCTGAAAGGTATTTCAGAGGATATGTGCCATCTAGTGGTACAGATGTGTGCAGATGTTTCCCACAGCTGCAATGAAAGTGCAAGTCGATGGATCCGGAGTGCAGTTTGTCTCTGCTATGGCTCGAGATTAAAAAGCATGAGTGCACAGCATGCTAACAAGGACTAATATTAGCAGATGGTGAGCTCTTAAGACTAACGCTGGAGACTTTATGTGAGGAATGATTGATGCGTTCTTAACACTTCCCAGTTTTTAAATTATGTGTGTGTCTGTGAAGACGGGTCCTTCTCACAAACGTGACCTAAATGACATGTTTGATGACTCGGCCCTCACACTCTGAGCCCATTGGCTCTCTTAATGGCCGTTTTATTACCTTAGCGTGTTAACCTGAAGCGCCACTTGCCGCCTAAGAAGGAACCGAGGAGCTGCATGAAAATGATTACACCGCAATTATATCAGCCACTTTGTGCGACTCCTCAATGCCCAGCTGTCTGCCGCCTGCTGCCAAGAAATGGATTAGTTTCACTGCTCCTCTAATAAGACTGTTAAACCAGCAGCATGAGCTCGAATAAATGGATGAAAGCTACAGATAGAGGGATGGAAATAGATGAATATTGTCAGGCTGCAGCCAGTCGTAGCTGGAAAACCTGGCCGATGCAAAGAGGGGATTCTCATTATCTCCAGGAACAGTGAACACCCAGCTGGCTCTTCCTACAATCAACACCTGTCAAAGGTTCTCACGCAGGACACGACAGCGTCAAACAGTGAGAGTTTTGTATACCCGGAGGGCACGAGTACAATCCCGGCAGTAATAAAACTCGGGCAGACCGTGTTGGTCCTGTAAACGTAATCTGCAAAGTGTTAATTACAACCTGGCGCCTCTGTGAAGCTGGAAGTCAGCTGAGTCGTCAGCGGCGTCCCGATCTCCTTCCTAAACAACACAGCTCGAGCCGTGGCGACAGACCTTGGAAACGAGATTTTCTCTCTGTTGGGGTTCCTGTTTGAATGGGCTGCTTTAAACAAATTAAGAGTCAGTCAGATGCTGTGTTTGCGTGACCCCCTTCATCCTCGGGGGTTAGGGTTGGGGTGGGGGTAGCAGGGCGGGGCACAGCCAGAGCGCCCGCGTTGTTTGCTGTCATTCATGTGGAGGGCCGAGGGTTTGTGTGTTTACCGCACGCAAGCGCTCCTCGCAAGTGCCACTCAATGGAAATGCTGCTCAGGGTCCATTGCATGCCACAAAGCCAGGAGACGCCACGGCTGTGAAGCTGCATGGATTAATCGATTAGCGAGAAGTCGGCCTGCTGGAAATTTGAGCTCTTGCTCTGCACTTTTTTAAAAGTAATTCCAGCTTCTCCATGTGGAATCAATCAAAAGGATTTGTTCATATGTAATAATAAAACGGAACCTGTCTTTTCCCTGATTGGTTGAGGGTTTATGGGTAAATCTGTAAATTTATTAATCTCTGCTCGTTATGTTCACTCTGGTTTTCTGGAAACTCTTCCTCTGCCTGCGTCTCCCACTGTAGCCCCAGAGGACAGGGCTCAGTCAATGAGCGCCGCTCTCAGATTTTGTTATTTTGTTATTGTGTAATGGTTTCCAAAGGTTGATGGATGGCTCCTCTACAGGTCTCCCTTGAGGAGCAAACCCCTCTATCTAGACATTAATCTACTGCTGTGAGACAGACACGCTTGTTTAGCTAGCACAAAGCCCAGTAAGCTGTTGTCTCTGAGAAAAACCTGGCCGTCTCCAGAGCCACTGGAGGCAGCGAGGGCTGGAGCCAGAGTAATGACCTGTGAAATTCACCGATAGAGTTGTCGTGTTGCACGCAGGTCCGCCGGCACCGGGCCTTGTTCACAGCCCACTGCTGGTATCAGTGCTCCTCTCCTGATGCCGCTCAGCCAAAAGGACTTAAAACCAAAATGCAGACTTTGTGAAACTCTTAAAAAAAAACAACTTTTGAGCTTTGTTTTCCTCTAACGAGTCGACGATAAACTGCCACTGAAATCGGCCGGTAACGAGCTGCTCCTTGGCGAGTTTTGTTCTAAATTATTTGGTTAAACTCAATATCTGAGACTAATTTCCACTGTGCTGTATCATAACAGCGCTCTCAAATATTTACTCGGCTTTGCCCTGTGAAACGGTCAATATTACCTCTCCCTCTCAATCAGATTAGGATGTGAAGCTGAAAGTTGAGGAGGGGAGCCTTTGACGGCAGTAATGAAAGTAGTTGTGTCTTCTCGAGAGCAGATTAAAGAAAGATCAGAAGGGCAAACTTCCCGCTGGCCTCTTATGTCTGGTTGATACAGTTTGACTTAGTTACCCCAGTTTCACAGCGGAGGGAGATTTCCTCCTTATTCTTGCCCCGTGGGTGTTAAAGAAACCGCTCTCTGGGAGGAGAACAGGCTTATATGTCAAAAACCGCTTGGGTACATAAACGCCTCTTCCTCTTCATCATCCTGCCTCCTTTATTCTCAGTTACTTTTTAATAATGCTTTACCAAATTGTGTTATAACTTTATGGCTGCATGCATGACGCACGTAAATTGATTTGAGACCAGGAATCGTCAGCTAAGCTCGTAGCAGTTGAAGGCTGTAAGGTGGAGCTTTGCAGAAAAGATAAATGTCAACTTAATCGCGTTTTGATAACAGGTTTGATTTTGGAAAATGAAACATGCCGTGGCTTATCATGTCAATGAGACGCACACGGGGATAAATGCGTGCTTGTTCTTGTTCTGTACTTTTGCACAGTTGTGGTTATTCATCTCCATGAGATGAAGAGCGCACGATAAAAAGAAAAGTTCTAGATGAATTTGACTCGTTCGTTGTTGCTACTTTTTCATTTTCATTTTCTGTTTATCGCAATAATGTTTGTCCTCAATAATCAGTCAGAAATGAAATGTTGGGAAAGTTATAGTCTAAGTTTATATTATACATATTGGTACGTTAACAGTTGCTGAGTTACTTTATGTTATTGATATTTGGCTTCTTATTCTCAAGGTGATGGACAGTCCAGAGTATCCAGGTTTGGATGAGCAGTCACAGACACTGAAACTGTGCAACCTGTTTGCATAAATAAATATTTTTAGTTTTAAAAATGAAACCAATAAGTGTGTGATATTAAAGGTTTCTTTCGCAGTGATGAACCAGGCACATATTCTTCATGTCTAAGGTGAATATAGCTCTCAGTCTGGTTTCTATTCTACTGTTATTGGGTTTATTCAGAAAGTTAAAGTTGATCTCGTGTCAGAACTTAATCCCAGTCCACAAAATCTTAACAAAATGGATTAAATAAAAAGAAAAAAGCATATAACCTGTGAGTTTCCTTGTATCGGGAGTATGATACATCCCTGGGTGTGCCTCAGGGCTCATGTTTAGGACTTTTTATCTTCATCCCTCCCTGGTGACGAAGCACAGAGGTGGACTCGGTTGCTGCTTTACGTTAACGTTGCTGGAGTCTGCTGGGCTGCATACAATACGTGTTGTCTTTGGAAAAATGTTTCCCTTTGACCTCCCGAAGCATTTAAGCATCAAGAAGCAGAACATTTTAAAAGCCAGATTTCCCAACTGACTTTCTAACCCAGTAGGTTTATCTTAAATTCCCTTTTTAAAAAATCAATTAATGCATTTAATTTTAGATTTGCTGCTTTTTTTTAATGCTTTAACATGGCTCGACATTACTTTCTCACATTTTTACAGGTAGCCGAGGTTCAGTTTTAAAAGTGTTTACAGAGCCAGGATGACATCAGATACCATGACTAATCAATAGGAATCCTCTCCGCCTGCTTGCCCTTCAGGTGTCCGTGAATTCGGAGGCGAGGAGGTGGAGTTCATCTGGCGTAATAAAAGTAAGCTGGGAGGAAAATGTGACAGATGTGGAGGCATGTGCCAACGAGAAAAGCGAGAGTGGGACTGTCAGACATGTCGACTCCGGCGTGGTGATGGATGAAGAGTGAGGTAAGACAAATGACATCGTCTGTCTGAGGCTGTGTTGTCATAGTGGAGGATTGCCGCTTGTCTTAACCTCTCAATATCAGAGAGCAAACTGAAGTTTGTTTACACTGCTCCAGTGGAGTGATTTAGAATGAGGGGCGAAGGAGACTTGGGTGTAGGTATGCTCGCTGGAGGGTTGGATCGGGTTTCTAAACATTCCCTTTGAAATCGAATAGCAACCATCCGAGGCATTTTAAACCCAACCAACCACGTTTGGCTGAAATCCTCAAGGAAGAGAGGAGCCTAAAAACAAATACAAACAGAAAATTAAGTATCAATCCCAATAATGGCCTGAATGCAGCGATGAAGCAGAAATTCTTGGTTTAAGGCCAGTATGGAGTCATCCTTTAAGAAATAAGATTTTATAAGTGTCACATCTGCATATAGATGTTTTTTATTTCTCATTCTATTAATTTATTTAGATTTTATTGCCCTCAAAATGAAGTCAAATCTTTTCTGCCACCAAGGTGAGCAAAGGTGAGTAAAATAAAAACCCGTAGGATCCCAGTAGTTTTTTTTTTTTTTTCCTGCATTCTTTGTATTGACTTTATAAAAACTTTCAACAGTGCATCATGGAAAAAGCTCATTTCTATCTTTTAAACAGAGGCCGGGGTTAAGAAGAGAAGCTGATTGATTTACAGCCTCTTGTGTTGCTAAAACAATAAGACGTCCTGGGGAAGAAGAACACAAAACATCCCTGGAGATGAACTTGCTGAACACTCTTCAAAACAACTGGGTTTGGGGTGTGTGTGTGTGTTATTGTGATGGAAGACGGATTAGAGTCTGGCTTATTTTGCCAGGAGTCAGGTGTGGGGTGGGCGAGGGCCGTCGTGGATCGGAGTAGGTACATCGGTGCCGGGGGCGAGGCGAGGGCTCAGGCTCGCTTCCAAACCCTGCCTGAAGTCACTGCGGGGCTGGGCTGTTTGGTGTGCGAGTCTGTGTGAGCGCACGCGTGCGTGTTGAGTTGGGGGCGTGGGGTGGGGATTACACTGTCACACTGTTCACACTGTTTATGCATACCAGGCCACTGTGAGTGCCTCTTTGTCGCATAAGTGTTTACTTGAATTTATTTTGGGAGAATTCCACATGACTGGGACGGGGATCTCTATAAATTATGGAATAGAGCGCTTTGTGTAATGATAACTTCTGTCAGTTAGTCAGGCTGTGTGACAGTGTTTTTAAGAGCGTGTAAATACAGGGGTGGTGAAAGAGGGAGAGGGGCGTCTGTGTGTTGAAAGGTGCTGCAGACTTTCCTCTTCATTTAGTCTCCTCAGCAGAACAATAGCAGTGCTTTAAAGTGAGCTTCTTATACCACGTCACAACATATTTTACTGCAGAGTTACTCATTTACTGTAATTGGATATAATTACATTTTACCCCGTCGAACACTTAGATTTCACATTTTAGTTGAGAATATACCGTTACGCTCATCCGCCACATTCGTTTTTTACACAGGAAAAAAGGTTGAAAGTCGGTCACGATTAATTGTGATTAAAAGCGCGCTCACTGGTACGTCTCGTTAATACTGGGTTGGGCCTTAATTCTTCATGGCGTACACCGAACAAGGTGTTGGAGCCGTTCCTCGAGATTTTGGTCATGATGGCGCGTGAGTCTCCCGTCCCACTACGTCCCAAAGGTGCTCAACTGGACTGGATCTGGTGACTGTGGAGCCCGTCGAGGAGCCAGTTTGGACGATCTGAGCTTTGTGGCGGGATGTTGTCCCGCAGGAAGCAGCCAGGCAACATTTATCCAATCATTCATTGTGTAAGTTTGGTGACACCGCGTGAATCATATCCTCAGTTTCCTGTTCCTTACTCAGATGGTGCCACGTGATTGGCTGATTACGTTCGTGTTAACGAGAGTGTACGTTTTAGATCAAAGTATACGATTGTGCTAATCCCGCTACATTCAGTTTGGGTAAATTTAAGAGTTAGTCACAAGTAATTCCTGAAGTTTAGTAAAGCACACGTTGCTTTCAGTGCAATTGCTTGGTGGAGTTTATGCAAGAAGCCAGTTTAAAGCTCATGGGTGAAATAAACAGAAGTTTGATTTAAAAGAAAAAATAATGAAAAGGGACTCTCTGCAAAGGAGACTGATCCCAGAGGCTGGTTACTCCTTTAATTCTTTAGTACATCTTATCAGAAAGACTATGATGTCATTGATGCATCACTGCATGAGGGAAAAAATGGGTTGCAATAAATTTAGAGATGATTTTAAACAGCTGAAATGGGAGTTAAACCATCCAGCAGCGCTGGATTGTACTGAGCTTTGCAGACATTTTTGTTCTGCCTTTCAGGGGGTACTTGGCTGAAAAGAAACGTCAAAGGAGGCACTGTAACAGACGGCTGAAGTCAGAAATAAAGGGGGCCTCTAAAAAAATTCAACAGTCCAACCTTCTTTTTATTTCCCCTTCCTTTATAGTAGTGGATTAGCGCAGCGTGTTTACAGTACGGGTCAGTTTAGCCAGGATCGTAGTGTATACATATAAAATCGGAATCTCCATCCTAAATTTAATAACAAACATCTCTGTACTGGGCTATGCCCTGTTTCAGTTGGGTCTGTGCCAGGACGGCTACTGTAGCTCGCTCCCTTCCATTACCTGACACAGAGGGGCTGCAACACCCGCCCATAAAGGTAGTAGCTCCTCCCACTGCAAGAAATAACCATTATGTACTAAATTAACTCATAGCAGTGCTTACCCTGTTCTTATATCCTGATCCTATGTAGGATAATTGCTGTAAGACGAGCCAAGCTGATTTAAAACAGCTTAAAATCAACATAACATCCAGACATCTCCCAAATCTCCCCCTCTCCTTCATACCACTCATGGCACTTTCCCCCAGGAACCTGACTATAAAAGGAGTCCAGCGGGTCTGGACTGGTTTGGCTCTTGCTGGGTCCAAACCAATGGACAACCGAGTGCAGTCAAGGAGAGGTGAGGAAAAACAAGGTCATCAAATCTGTTAACCCATATTTAAATCAAACGTTCATGGCAACAATACACAAACTGTTTGTTCAGAGGTTACGGACTCTCCGATGGGTCTTTGGTCTAGAGCTCGACTGTTGCCTGTCACAGGTTTGTGGGTTAGAGATGCAAAAGATTTGTGGACGGCCAAGCAACACGCGTCCTCGATGCCAACACAGACCTGACACAATCCCATGGACGTGAGCGTCTGCGACTGAATTACGGAAAGTAAAGTGAACACACGGGCTTATCAAGAGTACGTACAGTATGTTATCCACGTCATCAGATGAAGTTGCCGTGGAAACAGAAATCGGGCTTTATTTCTCTTGGCAAGCACGTGAAATTAGGAAGTGCAGTCATAGATAAGAACAAAATAAAAGTCTGTGTTGCCAGAATACTTTCACCGGGGGCCTGATTTTTAAAGAGAATGTCATTTCTGATTTTATGATTAACTTTATAAAGATTTTACTTTGGATGTATTAAGGTAACTGTATTCAAGTGTAAGCGTCTAAACCAACAAACACGTTACAATTATTGCTAATTAAGACATTGATGAACTCTCAGGTGCATGCACCTTCAAATGCAACAGCACCATCTAGTGGTCATTATAATAGTTGTGCACGGGACTTGTGTTGGGCTCCTGCAGTGGAGAGATTTGCAGACTCACATGTGCTTTTTTTAAAAATTGTTATAAACTCTGAATGTCTCCTCAGCACCAAGAGAAAGTGATAGAAAACTTAAAATGCATAGAATTGTTTCTTTTTCTGGCTTCTTTCACTGAATTTTTAATTTAGGGCAACACCTAATAAGTCCTCTAACATTAACCTGAGGATTTCACTTTGGTTGCATGGCAAGAAGACAAGAAAATGGTAGCAAAATAGCAGTATTATTAATTCTAATGTTGGGATTTGTCTGAAACTGCAATGTTAAATTTATATAAATATAAAGCAAAGCGGCCAACGCCACGAAATGTCTCGACTTCTCCGATAAATTAAAGAAAACCCCGAGCCAGACTGAAGAGTTGTACCTTTTTATTAGTCACTCTGACAATTGGTACAATACAAAGATTGATGACACTGTGCTATCCCCAAAAGGCTTTTAATTTGAAATAAATAGTAAGGAAAACATTCAATGGAGACGGTTAGTAATCTAAAAAAAAAGCAACATGTATATGAAAAGTTCCTTTATCAATAAAACAAGTAAATATAAAAACATAAGAAGTCATATTAACACCTTGCATTACCCCGTAGTCTATCACACGGTGCTGATGACACCAGATATCACACACAGTCTGTGGTGCATTGCTTTACATTGTATACAGTGTGCTGCAGCCACATGAAGAAGACCCTAAACCCACAAATGTACCTATTACACATGCAACAAAAGGTGATGCTGAGTGCAGTCTACTTCTGTAAACTGCACCTACACCACTCGTATGGTTCCAATTAGGCCACAAATATTTTTTCTCTTTACATTTGTAACAGGTCATCCAGCAGGGCTTTTCTTTTCCCTTCCAGTTTCACAAGAATACAGACGAGGAAACAGAAACGGTGTAGTCTCCAGTGGATGCTCAGGAGAACTCCTTTATTGAACAACCTGAAATTCTAGCTATCTTTGGGGTAATGCCTTTGTGTTTAGTCTGAGAGAAAGAAAGGCACAGTCTGCAGAGCAGGATTAGACACAGGAGTTCAGACGAAGTGCTTTGTTGCTGAACTCCTCTCGAGGGAGCAGAAAGTAGCGCACACTGTTGTGGTTTCTTTTCCGTTACATCAGACAGACCCTTTTTTTTCCCCTCTCCCTCCGGGAGGCCGAGCCTGCAGCTCCTGAACCCATGCACGAGGGGTGAAATGAGAAGACCACAGCTGCAAGTAACAGGAAAAAACGAAAAAGAAAAAAAAAGCCCTTTCAGTACTAGGCACCGGTTTTGAATCACCAGTACACGCTTGATAAAACCTGCTGTTTTGCGGTCATCTGTCGTTAAGCTGTCCATGCCTGACCT